ATATTGAAGATGTAAGGGATAAAATCACATTGTCTCCAACCTTTCTACTCTTGCAAAACTTTGCGTTAACATACTGCATGCTTTTTTCGTCATTTTCGCCAGTGAAATCTTTTTGAAATTATTTTCATCAACACATTGATAAATATAAAGACTTTACAATTTTACAATTATGTTTCTTTGCATCTCAAAATATAGTATGTTGTGTCTTAATGAGATTCTCTTGTAGTTTATCGTATCTAGTTAGAATAATGTCTAGAACTTCTTGAAATCAAAATATTGCTTTCATCTTCACGTACCAACTTCATAACTATTCGAATTCTTGTTATCTAATATTGAGATGTTGTCTTACAATTCATTTCTTGCTATTTTCATTAATTTTCTGATCTTAAATTTTTTAATATCAGTAAGAAAGCTCTTGCATAAAATATAAAAAAAGAAAATGATATAAAAAGATATGTTATAGAAAATGAAAGAAATCTTACTTTATTATTTTACGTACTTGTTATATCAATGTATACGAACATTGTATTTATAATACAAAATAAAAGTTAGTTGGATTAGAACTACCATTTCATCGTAATCAAAGATTGGTTACTGTTAATAGTTGTAACCAACAAAAAACCTAAATCATTTGATTAATTAAAACGTAATTTAATCTTGAATTTCTTACTTTATAAATTAATATTCCATGATTTTTGGCGAAAATGGCTGAAGGAGAAGTTTCCTAGGCATAGGAATATACTATTAGTATACAATTTTTCTTTTCGTATTAAATTGCTAATTACTTTTGACCCATCAAATGGAAACCAACCTTTGCGTTGAAAACAAGTTTTTAACATTACATAATTATTATATATATATATATATATATATATATATATATATATATATATATATATATATATATATATATATATATCACAGTACATAATTAAAAAAAAAACACATTTTGACCTAAGTGCTACTTTTATTTAAATTGAAAAGTTATATTGTAATATCAGGAAAACAATTTTATGAAAACAAGTGAACAAATAATTCTAAAAACATTATTTTCTAAAAATATGAAATTAAAAATAAAACAACGAATATTCCTAATTTCAAGTTTGAACGGAACTACAAAATTATTATATTGCACCAAACAACCTAGTTACAGCCTCTCAATTGTAAAAAAATTCTCTTTAATAAAATTCGTATGTAAATCATTGAATACTAAAATTTTATGAAAATAATTGCTCTTATATTCTTATTATATGGAAAAAATCATAAACATCAAGAAAATAATTAATTTTGAAAAATTTCACTATTTTTTATTGGTATCCTTATTAATAAATTAATAACAACTATGTCTTTTGTGACGTATGATTATTTTAATATTATATTAATATTACTTGTGCAAGAAAACTTCGTAACGAAGTTTTCCTCATGCACGATAAAATTTTTCTTATATATGAATACTTGAAGCGGGGAGGAGGGAAATCAAAAATTTTTCTCTCATACTTCTTCTTCTATTGTCTAAATTTCAAGCAACGAGACTCTGCTCGTGCAGGATCTGGTGAAACGGGAGAGAACTTGAATTAAGTGGGGAAAGCTTCGGTAGAAATACCATACCATGTAAGGGGACGTTTAATTCATTCAATATATGAAATTGAATTGTTGGTACTCTGTAAATAAGGAATAGGAGTAGAGATATGAATGATTGGAATGTATGATTTTGAAGAATGTCTGATTTTGAAGAATGTCTGTTGCAGAATGAACTGTTCACCGTTTAAAAGTTTTAGAAATTCTTGAAATTAAGGATGAATTATATAATAAAATTATTGTTTTTAACTTAAATTGAACATGTTTATGGTTTAATTTTGATTTGGAACTAATTTAGGTGATTGAAACTGAGAAAATTGAAACTTGGATTTCGAAAATGGCGAACTGGAAAACCTGCAAAATTCGCTCAAGCGAAAAATACATCGCTTGAGCGAAGACACCTGGAAAATTTGGGACTCTCGGGATCCATCTCGCTCAAGCGACTAGTGTACTCGCTTGAGCGACGGATGCTTCAAACAAAGGGGACTCCCGGGTCAAGTCTCGCTCAAGCGACTAGTGTACTCGCTTGAGCGACGGATGTTTCAAACAAAGGGGACTCCCTGGTCAAGTCTCGCTCAAGCGACTGGTGTACTCGCTTGAGCGACAGATGTTTCAAACAAAGGGGACTCCCGGGTCAAGTCTCGCTCAAGCGACTGGTGTACTCGCTTGAGCGACGGATGTTTCAAACAAAGGGGACTCCCGGGTCAAGTCTCGCTCAAGCGACTGGTGTACTCGCTTGAGCGACGGATGCTTCAAACAAAGGCGACTCTCGGGTCATGTCTCACTCAAGCGACTGGTGTACTCGCTTGAGCGACGAAGCCTTCAAACAAAGGGGACTCTCGGGTTCCATATCGCTCAAGCGACCAGTGTACTCGCTTGAGCGAGCGAAGGAAGAAGAAAGGGATATGGTGTGGATTTTTTTAAAAGATTAAGGGCAAAATAGTAATTTAATGATTTCGAAAATGATTTCGAAAATAGTTCGGAAATAGTTTCGGAAATGATTTCAGAAATGATTTTTAGGAAAATATATATATAAAGAGAGAGAAAGAATGAAAATAGAGTATTGTGACGTGTGTGGGTCAGACTGAGCCTGAGGGCTGATGCCCAGAATCAGTCCTGAGACGTTATATATTGGCTAGACTGAGCCAGAAGGTTGGTGCCAGAATCAGTCAAATACTATTTTTATTGACTCGAATGAGCCGTGAGGACAGGTGGTCCAGAATCCGGCAAATGTGAATAATTTTTGTTATGTTTGAATGGTACCCGGGGTGGTACAGAGTACATTAGTGTAATAACTATGTCAGAGGATTCTGAATGAGGTCCCAGACTTCACTGATTGGTCGGGTCGGGTAGGCTACGAGATCGGGTGGTGAGAAGTCGATGGGGGGATGACCGGTGGCGCGCTCGGAGGGGTACTCCGAGTATGAGTGATGAAGGGCGCCGGTAATCCTACTCGTGTGGAGGGTGGTCGGAATGGTACTGCGGGTACCGATCACAATGTGCCCACAGATGATAGCCTCCGAGTTCGGGCATAGTTAGGGTATACTTCCGGAAGGTGTCTTAGTGTGTTGATAATTTCGTAATTGATCATAATATATAATTTTATATTCTGTTTTATTATATCGAATGATTTAATACTTACCCCTATTTTTTCCATGTGGATGGGATCTGCGATGATCACTTTTATGTGGGAGCGAGATCGGGAGTTGAGAGATGGTGATGGGACTACTTGGACGGCGGGGATAGTTCGATGGGATAGCTTCGAGGAGCTATCTGTTACATGTATAATGTATAAATAAATGATGTTAATATATTTTGAAGTTACGTTAGTGAACTGGAATTTCAATATATGTTACAATTACGATAATATAATGTAAAATAAATGTTGTTATTTACTTGTTTACTACTTTGCGAAGACATCATTATAGTAGCGATTTCTAGGGTCGTTAGATCTTTAATAGAGATAGTAAGAAAAATAAAATAAAAAAATTATAAAACGTCTTACACTATTTTTTTTTTCAAATTTCTACCATAGAGAGCATAAAGAATATTACATATATGAACTAAATTATTTTGTAATATTTTAAATTAAATATGTATTTTAATGTCAGTAAATATTTTATTAATTTACGTTATTAATATTAATATTTTACTGGCATTCATGCTTCATTAGTTATAAGATAAACACATAACACAGACAACATTTCTTCTAAAAAGAGAGCAAATTTAGCAAAAACGTAACATATTTGAACACTGGTCAAATATTTTATGAATTCACAGTGAAGACGCAAAAACATATTTTTTATTGATGGTAAACACGATGAGAACGTACTACCAATTTACAGCGAAGTCGCAAAGCACGTCTAACTTTTGATTAATGTTAAGCTGAACGAGTCAAAAGCTCAGAAAGTGTTGATCAAACTCGTCTTCATAATTTGTGGATAAAGTCATATACCTGGGGCTTAGACATCAAAATTCATCCATAGAACTTATCTATTCGCATCATAAACCTTTTACTTTAATAAATTGCTATTTCATACATCATAATTTTTGCTTTGTTATCAATTAGTAGTGTTAGTACATCAATTTATATACTTTTTTTATAATGTAGCAAAATTTAATTTGGTTTTGACTATGATTTTTACATCTATTATAATAAAAATACTTAAATATTTAAATTAAACTATTAATGTGATGTAAGTTTTAGTTTCTGTACGTCCATAAGCATTTAGTTTTCATCGATAACATTGTACAAAACTATCTCGTAATCCTTCTAGTTGAACATTAAAAAATATATAATAGTATCAATATAATTATTTAAAAATAATAGAATAATTATGAAAATGAAATTCATATATTTATTGAATATTATGAATAAAAAATACAAAAAATAAAATAAAATAAAATTGAAGGTTTTAATCTTAATAGTGTTGGAGATATCAAAAGTTATTTAACCCTACTTTTAATTTAAAAACTATAATAAAATTGAGATAAGAAAAAATATAATTTATCCTTATAACAATATTATACTAATATATGTTTATCTGTTACTAGTTTATAAATATAGAAAAATATACTTTCACAACCTTTAAAAAAAATCCAATAAATAATCTATTATAATAAAATATTATATTATTATATCAAATTGTCTATTACATTTTTTTTTCGAGATGGTTGTGTATATATATATATATATATATATATATATATATATATATATATATATATATATATATATATATATATATATATATATATATATATATATATATATATATATATATAATCACGTAGTAAATGCGGCGCAACGGTGCGAAACTGAAATAAACTATTTTAATAATAAACACACCTCTATCTAATTATTTATTCATTCTAATGTTATCCAAACAAATCCTCTTTCTTCTCTTCTCATTCTCGTTTTCATGGCAACCAATTCAAGAACTCTCGAGTTCACGCTTCTGTCAGCGGAAGGTCTCCACATCAGGGGGAAACCGGCAGACAAGAACGTCTTCGCGGTGGTTCGCGCGGACTCCATAGCCAGCCACACGACGGCGACAGCGACAGCGACGGGGAGCAACGGGTCGCTGTCCTGGAAGGAGACGTTCTCGGTGGAAGTGGGGGCGCACGCGAGGTGCATGACGATTGAAGTGAAGTGCAGGACGGGAGCGGGAGAGAGAGACGTTGGCGTGGCAAGAATCGCGCTTTCGGATTTTCTGGGAGGGTCGGTCCCCGAACACAAGTTGCAGTTTTTGTGCTACAGGTTGAGGGACTGGGATGGGAGAGAAAATGGGATCGTTAATTTCTCCGTCAGAGTGGTGGCGCCGCCGCCTCACGATGGCGGCGCTGAGGATGATTGTGCGCCGTCGTTGGGTGGAGTTGTTACCGGCATTCCCGTTTGGAGGAACGAGTCATCGACAAGTAGCATGAGCAATGTTTGATTCATTGAATCAATTTGCAAGTAAATGTTAGGGTTTAGGATTGTTGTTCATTATTGTTTTGGTTTTGAGTTGTTGGGAAAGAATTTGGTGTTTTTCATTCATGTTGGTTTGATTTTGAATCAGTAGAAGGTGTATGTCGTTTAAAATCTATAACAAAAAATGAGTGTTATTTTATTGAGAGCAGTGGCGGATCTTGACCGATTGATTTTGAGAGTAAAATAATATATTATTAATAAATAATAAATAAATATAAAAGGAAGAAAGAATATGAAAGGTTTAAAAGATAAAATTGTAGATATATACTTAAATATATTAAATGATCATTAAGTTTGAGGAAAATAAAATCATAAATTATATGAGAGTTACAAAGCTGAGGAGAGTTTGGGAGGATAAAATTGTAAATATACAAGTAAATATATTAAATGCTTCATTATGTTTGGAAGTGAAAATCATAAATTACATGGGAGTTCTGAAAATTTTGAGAGCACGCCTCCTCATTCTCAAGAAGATCCGCCACTGATTGAGAGGATATTTGAAGACGACTCTCTATTCAAGGAGCATGAGTATAACTAATATAATAATATCATAAAAAATAAGTGCAAAATGAGTGTTTTTTTTTATTATTGATAGAAATTGAACAAGAAACTTGCTCACATAGAAATTTAATTGTGATGCCATTGATGCCTAATGAAGTAGGAGTTATGTATTTAAAAAAAATACTGATTTTTATTAGAGTTTATTTTCTAATTTTTTAAGCAATTGATAACATAAAATCTTTAACATTACATTATATTATTTTTACACGCATTTTTTCATAACAAATATTTTTCCCTTCAACTTCATTATTACTTATACTTTTGTCATTCGAAGGTGATTGCAGTTTTTTTTACTCAGACGATACTAAGTATATGTCACCTAGGAAAAAAATATTTTAAAAAATCTCTCGCTAAATAAATATATATTAATTCAATATTAATATTGGTGTAATTTATATAAAGATAATTTAGAAATAAATAAAAAAAAATCAAAGAATGCTGATTTTTTAAAAATTAAAACTAATATTTTAGAGCAATGTGATTTTATTATTTGACATGTTTATCTCTTTAAGCAAGAGGAAAGTTAGATATAAACACTGAATTTCTCTGAATATTTATAGTGGAAAATATGAACAGTTGTTTATTAATCTACTTTGACAAACCAGAATGAACGTGAATTTGGAATTGTGCTGAGCTGTGTGGGCAGTGATGGTGTCACCTAAAGTGATGTATTTGTATTGCAGGCTCACCTGATGAAAAAAGAAGAAGAAGCAACATGTATGGTTGGAAAAGAAAATGATGCATGTGGATGCGACTGTTATTGCTGAAAAGAAAATGATCCATACATTCATACAACTGTGAATGATTCTTCTTTTCACTGCCACTTGGTGCAACAACTGGACAACTAGCACCGTCGATGTTTGCGTCTTGTCAGGATAATATATACATATTGAATTCAATCTGTTTACGTCTTGTCAGGATATAATAATATATATATATATATATATATATATATATATATATATATATATATATATCAATAGGCTTAGGAAATTCTTAAAGCATCTTAAAAAATAGTTTTTAATAAAAATTATTTAAAAATAAAATTAAATATTTTATTATAGGGATAGTAGTTAATTGTTTAAAATTTAGTTTTATTTTTTATTTTTAAGCAACTTAAATGTTAGATCATAATAAATTATTTATTTTTATTCTTAAGTAATTTTTGGTAGCAACTTAAATATGTTCTTATAGTTTAAACGTGAAAAAATATAATTTATATATATATATATATATATATATATATATATATCTTTCCTTAATTAATTTATTGAGACAAAATATTGATCCTAATAATATTATTATAATAGATATCAGGACATTTTTAAATGAAATATTAGTGTCTACCGTAGGGTTATATTCTTACATAAGTCTCACATTACTTAGAAGTTGAAGTAAATGATAATTGATATATATCTTTCTCTCTTAATCTACCGAGATACCTTTTAAAGATAAAATTATAACTAATAAAAATTTCAAAACAAACAATATCTTAAACATAAAAATTCACTTAACGATATTTTGTTTAGTTAGATTAATTATTATAAAAAAATATGGTAGTATCTTTAAAATTAAATTGAACTCTATGGTAGATTTTATATAGTATATCATAAAATTTATTTTATATCTCTTCTAATATTTCATCTTCTTAATGCACTTACTTTGTTATAATATAATGGGGAAAAGTGAAATAAATGTGTAAAATATATTTTTTAATTAGATTAGTTATTATCTAAAAATACAGTAGTATCTTTAAAATCAAAATTAACTCTTTATGGTAGATTTCATATGGTATATCATAAAATTTATTTTATATTTCTTCTAACATTTTTGAAAGTAATAAGGGAGAGATTGATGGTAATGTGAAACATGTTCCTACATTCTCAAGAGATGATTTTGATGATTGTTCAAGTCAATAACATTCAAGACTCAAGCAAGCCTAAGATATGATTTTGATAAAGATTATGTTCAACATTCAAGCAAGCCTAAGATGATTCCTGAAGACTAGATAAAGTTTTAGAATACTGGATATGAATGTATAAGTTGATGAAGTAATATTATGCATAAGCATCAAAAGCACAAGTGTGATAAAATTTTATAACATGATATTTTAAGACTTTTAAGAAATTTGCTAAGACTATTCAAAATGAGAAAGATTTGAACATAAAATCAATTAGAAGTGATCATGGTGGTGAATTTCAAAATGAGCTTTTTGAAAATTTTTGTGAAGATTTAGACATAACGCATATTTTTTCTTCCCCAAGAACACCACAACAAAATGAAGTTGTTCGGAAGAAAAATAGGTCCTTGGAAGAATTAGCTAGAACAATGTTAAATAGAAATAATCTTTCAAAATATTTTTGGACCGATGTTATGTCAACTGCATGTTATGTGTTAAATAGGATTTTAATAAGACTTATTTTGAAACTCACTCCCTATGAAATTTTCAAAGGTAGAAAACCAAATATTTCTCATTTTAAAGTTTTTGGTTGCAAATGTTATGTTTTAAACAATTGTAAAGATAACCTTGGCAAATTTGATTCAAAGGCTGATGAAGCAATACTTTTAGGTTATTCTTTAAATAACAAATCATATATGGTATTTAATAGGAGAACATTGCATGTAGAAGAATCTGTTCAAGTAATGTTTGATGAGTTTTTGGACCTTGAGGAGAACCCTCTTGAGTCAAGAAAAGATTCTATAGATATTGAAGAAGAACATATTGCAGCAAAAAAGAATCAGGTTGAGTCACATGAAGACCAAATGGAGGATCTTAGAAGGAGTTTAGAAGAACACACTATTTCTGAATCTCAACAAGTTCAAGATCTACCCAAAGAATGACATACACCAAGAGTACTCTTACTAAACAATGTTATTGGAAATGTAGATCAAAGAGTTACAACAAGAAGCAGAATTAATAACTTTTGTATGAATGTAGTTTTTGTTTCACAAGTGGAGCCTAAAGTATTGATGAAGCCTTACAAGATGAATACTGGATTCAAGCTATGCAAGAGGAATTAAATCAGTTTAAGAGAAATGAAGTTTGGGATCTAGTACCAAGAAAGAAGTCAATGCAGGTTATTGAAGTTAAATGGGTGTATAGGAACAAGTTGGATAAGCAGGGAAATATCACAAAGAATAAGACAAGATTGGTTGCAAAAGGATATAGTCAAAAAGAAGAAATTGATTATGCTGAGACATATGTACCAGTAGCAAGATTGGAAGTTATCCTGATTCTACTAGCTTATGCATTTATCATGAAATTCAAATTATATCAAATGGATATAAAGAGTGCATTCTTAGATGGATATATCAAAGAGGAGGTGTATATGTGTCAACCTCCTGGCTTTGAAGATTATCAACATCCAGATCATGTTAATAAATTGAAGAAAGCTCTGTACGAACTCAAACAAGCACCTAGGTCATGGTATGAACGTCTAAGCAATTTTTTGGTGAGTCACAACTATAGGAGAGGTAAAATAGATCAAATTGTATTCATAAAAGAGCATAAGAAAAATATTATTATAGTTCAAATTTATGTTGATAATATAATCTTTGGCTCAACTAACAATGATCTTTCTCAAGAGTTTGTCAAGATAATGCAAGGTGAGTTTGAGATGTCGATGATGGGTGAACTAACATTCTTTCTAGGACTTTAAATCAAATAGAAGAATGACGGCATCTTCATTTTACAATCAAAGTACTGCACTGAATTAATCAATAAATTTGAATTAGAACATTCAAAGGAAGCAGCTACTCCAATGGCAACATCTTGCTGTCTAGATCAAGATGAAAAAGGTAAGGCGGTTGATCAATCGAAATATAAAGGTATGATTGGTTTCCTACTTTATCTTACAGCAAGTAGACCTGATATTATGTATAGTGTGTGTTTGTGCTAAATTTCAGGATAATCATAAGGAATCACATTTAGTTGTTGTTAAGAGAATTTTTAAATAATTAAAAGGAACTAGATCATTTGGCCTTTGGTATCCCTGAGGATCTTCACCTAGCATTATAGGATATTCAGATTATGGAGGATGTAAACTAGACAGGAAAAGTATAAGTGGGACATGTCATCTACTTGGTTGTTCACTTGTTTCTTGGAATTCTAAGAAACAAACTTGTGTTGCTCTATCCACAACTGAAGCTGAGTATATAGTTGCAGGTAGTTGTTGTGCCCAAGTTTTGTGGATGAAGCAGCAGTTAGAAGATTACAACATTTTTCTAGATCATATTCCTTTAAAATGTGATAGTACTAGTGCAATAAATTTTACTAGGAACCCTATCATGCATTCTAGGACTAAGCATATAGAGATCAAACATCATTTTATTAGAGATCATATTAAAAAAGGAGATTGTATAATAGAATACATAGATACCACCCATCATTTAGTTGTTATCTTT